AGGAGGAGGAGGAGGAGGAGGAGGAAGAGGAGGAGGAGGAGGAAAAGGAGGAGGAGGAGGAGGAGGAGGAGCAGGAGGAAGAGGAAGAGGAAGAGAAGAAGAAGAAAAAGAAGAAGAAGAAGAAGATTGTTCTAATTGCAATCTCTTTTAGCAGGGTTTTTTTTTCATGCGTGAACAAATTCCTGCACATTTAATTATTGTGCTGAATGTTGGGGCAGTGTTGTACTAGAATTGTAGGTTCGTTTGTATTTTATTATGTTTTAAATGACGTGCTTACATGCAAGGGTGAAAGAAGGTGAGAGGCAGAGGAGATGGGTGGGAGGAGAGTTGGGGGAAGAGAGATTTACGAAGTGAGAAATTTCAGGGGGTTGAACTGCATGCAGCGTAGATATCGTAGAATGAAACCGATATTAAGTTGTTTTTGGGATCTGTTAACAGTGTCTATTTTCGAATAATATCATCATCAGTGTCTTTCACCCCTGGAAGGGTATAGGCCACATACAAGCTCCTTCCATTTATCTCTGTCCAGGGCCATCCTTCCTAGCTCGTTCCAAGTGAGATTCATCTCTCTTATGTCCCTTTCTGCGCATCTCCCCCATGTTTCCCGTGGCCTACCCCTGCCTCGTGCTCCCCGTGGCTTCCATTGCCGTGACTTTCTTGTGAAGCTTCAGCTGGGCTTTCTGAAGGTGTTCGAATGATATGTATGATATATAATGTTGATGCAATTTCCAGATTTATTCATGTTTCGATTGTACTTATCCTTGTAACCTTAATGGTATGAAAACGTGACGTTCCTATTTTTTAACAGTCAGTAAAGTTGTCGACCAGTCTGTCTGTGACACACTGAAGCAGCAGGTGGCTATTCATCCCTGACTCGTTCATTCATTTTGTTACGCCCCCCTCCCCCTCCCCCCCCAAACCAAATAGATGTACCCAGCTATGATCTCTCATATTATCCAATTACAGTTATTGTTATAAAAAATGTGGTAAATCTCTGGTAAGGTCAACCATCACTGTGTTTAAACACTTCCCAAATCTCCCTGCCTTTTCAATCTCACGTATTCCTCCAACTCCAAACCTTCCCCTTTCTGTTCCTCTGAATAGTGAATAAGTGCTTGAAGGGGGCCACTGATAGATCCTACTTCTTTATAATGTTGAATGTGAACAATTTCATTTATACAGCTTATATCCATGGTCTGCAGTATTCTCTATGCGTTTTTCAACTACAATCACCGCCAAGACATCAAACACTGAGAAATACGCGTAGTTTAACTGGAAGCATATAGTGTAAGGTGCGGGTTACACGCGCTAAAACACTCACACACAATAAGTATTGTTTCTTTTATTTGCACCTTATAACTCTTTTTGTGTCAAGTACTTCTCTATACTCAAACTAAAAATGCTTTTGTGTATCTATTTTACCACTCTCCAGGTGAACGAGACAGTTAACAACAACCTACAACGTCTGCCTCCACCCAGCTCCAGCATACCCAACATCGGCCGGAAGTCGCTGAAACAGCAGGAAAACCTGGAACCCAACACCAAAGCCTTACTGAAGAAACGCAACCGCTTGCCTAAACCATCACCCCAAGGACATCTGGTCAGCCCTTTCCTTCTCAACAGCGACGGACTTCCGGGAAGCGAATCCTCGCCGCCCTTCTCTCACGCCAGTGTTTCCAAAGAAGGGGCCCCGAGTCTGCAAAGACATATCTTATTTAACTCAGAGCCAGGAGAGGGGCGATGGAGTACGCAAAACCAAAAACATCCTGAAGACCAAAACCTACCTGCAGTGGACACGGACACCATGCAGGATTTTTGTTATGAATACTACGTGGGCAAAGACAATGTTAGCGATACTTCTGGTGGAAATGCTGGAGGAAAAGGCTCTCTTGTCTCGGAGCCTACGAAAAAGCGAAGCAGACAACTGCTGTCCAGGAGCCCTGTGAGTTTACAACGTAAGTTACGACAGGGCATGTCTAAATTGAATGGCAGTAACATAAAATCGTTCGGTACCGACGGGTTCTGTCCTCCTCTGGCTAACGGTGTGGGACAGACGCCCCAGAGAATCAGCTACGTACCACACCGACCGGGTAGTACAACCAACACAGATCACGCGACTGCTGCTTCTGAAGACGAGTCGGACGCGGACCTCATGTCTATTCGCCTGCCGAGTCTGTATCGAGAGGGATCAGAAAGGTTCGACGAGTACGATTCTGATGGGAATACACGCGCTCACACGTTATCCTTCAAGCAGAAGTCGAGAAGTCGCGCGAGACAATCTCGACACAGGAAAATCGACGAGCACGATATCGACAACAGCGCCTTGGACATTGTGCGCCGGGAAAATGACGTATACGCGCTCTCTGATGACGAAATACCCAACATTCCTCAACGGAAACGTATAGTCGTTGATATGCCCAACATTATCTTCAATGCTGCTAGTCCGGACGTAGACAGGGTTACCCCTGGTAAGGCCGAGGAACGTAGTCGGCCACCTAGCCACAACTTGTACACGGAGACTTCATTGAAGAAATCTATCAAACAACAGGAGATCAGAAAACGTGAACTGAAGAATCTTCTAGAAGACGTGAAGGAACTTAACATGCGAACGGAAGCTCTGAGCTCGCAGTCTATGAACGAAATGCCACCTTGAAAAACTGCAGAATAGGAGAAAACATTATAGTGGTAGTGAAGATAACTCGGTGATACTGGGGCTAGATAGCTGTTGTCGTTCTTAGCCAAAGACTTGTTTGTATTATAATAAGTATCTAAGCCTGTACCCTCTGACGCATTTTGGGTTCTCCACGGAGCGCGCCTTTTGGCTGTTTGGAGCCAAATGAAGGACGAGGAGGGAAAGGTTGGGCACACAGAGACTGGCGTTTTGCCCTTCACTTGCGCGTCCACAGTGTGCATCACTGCAGCGAACTTTTCATAGAGAGCAAATAACATGGTCTAGGATATTAAACGTGTAATTGAAGTCTATGTTGTGTTCTTAGCTAGATCATCGAAGACGGCAGTACGCTCTTATATACGGTACCCGTACTTGTCAATATTGCTGTTTGCTAGTCGTACATAAGTGCAATTTCTGTTTTGCCATGCGATATGCTAGCTAATTGACTTTTTGAGGCAGAAATAAAGTGAACTTTAACAACTGCCTCTGCAGTCATAAGACGGTATGAACGACAGTTCGTTCAACCTGTACAACAGTTTTAAGGATGTGCACGTGAAGGGTTCCATTGAAAACCTCACTAACGCGCCAACTCTAGGCGTTTCCAGAAAACTCTCCACTAAAAAAACCAAAACAACTATGATAAGAGTTGTCGTGAGAATTATTTTTCTTCTCTGATTGCTCTATATCCATCGATATTTAGTGTAATGAGATTTTGTTTTCCCTTCTTTAAAAAATCCGATTTTATTCTTTAATTTTCTGAGTTTTACAGTAAATGGAAACTGTGCATTTTGATATGGAGCCCTTCAAATGTGCATTGCATGTATTAGATTTCCTATTTGTTCACATTTTTTTTCCTTTCAGCATTTTACTTTTGCTTCGAGGGAAAAATGTGAACTACTTGTATTGTGGAGCATTATGTATAATCACATAATAAAAACCCAAGAAAACTCTCAGACTTCACAAACGTCTAAAATAATTGATTGTCTATGAGAATAATGTCTTTATATTGAATTTCTGATTAAATGACCGATACATGCGCAATTCACTGGTCAGAACTTCCTTTTTTTACTTCAGAAATGTACTTTCTGTTGTTGTTTGACGCTAGCAACTTTTCCCTTCGTCTCGTCGGAACTGATGTCGAATGTGTGCATGTTGCTCCTCTCTCAGGTACTCCAACCTCAAGTCAGTCAACTCTTTAGTGTCCACACACCAACGTATCACTTTTTCTTTTTCTTTTTACTGTGTTTTATTAAGCGTTGATAAAGCGTGGCACAGAAAGAGTTTAAGATACAACAATGGATTTGTGTTTGGATGTCCAAGTCTGTCTGGTCTGACATAACTCCGGTTCACCACGAAGTACATTTGTGAGACATCGTTGAGAACTCAGGCACTTGTCAAAATTATGAAACTTTAGAAACTGGCATTTTCCGCAGGTTTCGGAATTTTTATTGAATTTTTATTTTTTTGGCTCAACACCTTCCATGTCCATTAAAGACCTTATTCCTGTGCGGATAGCACTGAAAAGTGTTGATTAAAGGCATAACAAATACATTTTCTGTTTCCATTGACTGTCAAGCTGAGGAAATAACAAAAATTTGGCAGCCATTTTTCACTAAATTTACCCCTGAAAACAGGTGACCCCTACCTCCTTCAATCGCAAATATCTTGACTTGTTTTCAAGATAACGGATTTTTTTTTCTATCAAAAGCAAAGCAAGTAAATCAACTTTCAGAATATACCAATAACCCCAAAATTGACGAGCGCCTGTTTCCACGGCGCAGTGATACGTTTGTCTCTACTTGGAACCGATTGAAGGACACGGTAGAAAAGTTTGCACTCGCAGTCGACTGCAGTGAGACTGATAGGCTACGGCGGCCATGGAAGCTCCAAGTCTTGGACAAAACAGTCAAGTTCAAGGCATATGTGTTGTGACACGGTGGAGTCAGGCGCTGGAAAATTTTTGGGCATATAGAGTTATAAATAACATCTTAAAGCTTGTTCATTTGTCTTGAATTTGGCGAAAGAAATACCCGTCTATCTTGAACAGAAGTCAGGATATTTGCGATTGAAAGAGGTGGGTGTAGCCTGGTGTGAGGGGTAAAATTAGCTAGAAAATGTCTGCCAAAGTTTCGAGACTTCCAAAGTTTGAGTGTCCTTGGAAACAGGAAATTTGCATATCTGGTGCCTGTGTTTTTCGTTTTTCTGTAACGTCCACACAGAAATCTGATTTTAACAGGCCATGAAAGGTGTTGAGCAAAAAAAAAAAATTAAAAAAATAAAATTGCCCAACGTCCAGAAAAATGCTAGTTTCTTCGTTTTCCCTGTTTTGACGTGCGCCTGATTTCACCACACTGCCTTACATATAATTTTCTTGCTTCTCCCGGATATCCAACTTCAAGCCAGTTAACTTCAAAGGACCCATGCATCGATGCATAGCTTTGTTTTCTACTCTGTGTTGATAAAGCCCGGAACAGAAAGAGTTGAACGTCCAACACAGATACATGTTGATTGCTTACTTTTCGCTGGAGTGGATCTTCCTACACCTCCTTTGAGAAGTTTCCTTCTTTGTTTAAATTTCCCCCCTCTTTCTTTGTATTATTTGTTATCTGCGTCGTATTCACTGGAGAAGTGGATTCCAGAGTCAGAGGCTACCGAGGTGTTAACAAAAACTGTAATGTTCGTCTTGGTCCCAATGACAGAAAAGTCGACTGGATTATCCCTTTCCTGATTCTCCTACACAGTTTTCATCTGATGAAAGCTAACGAAGGGATGTAATCGTGTAATCAAATCCCACTGTTTTTGACAAAGGTAGGGTGCTAAAAGACTTACTTCCCTTGACATATATGTAAAATCGTTGTGAATTTTTGTGGGTTGCAAATACCTTGCAGTCAATATGTCATGTGAGGCTTCGTGGTGAACTCAGGCGCTCGTCAAAATGATGAAAATCAAAGATATCCGCATTTTATTTTGGCCGATGGGCTATTCTTTTTTCAAATTTTCTTCTTTTGACTCAACACCTTTTATATCGATTCAAAGAAACACATTTTTGTGTCGATTTTACTGAAAAACATTGATAAAAGGCACAAACAAATGTAAATTTTTAGTTTCCAAGGACTCTCAGGCTATGGAAGTTACCAAACTTTAGCAGCCATTTTCTCACTAATTTTACCTTTGAAACCAGGTGACTTTGACCTCTTTCAATCGCATATATCTATATTTTATTTAAGATAGATGGGTATTTTTTTCACTAAAAGGGAGACAAATGAACAGGCTTTATAAAAACCAATAACACCATATGCCAAAAAAATGACGAGCGCCTGATTCCACGACGTTGCGACTCACATTTATTACTAGCGTTATTGCACAAGCCATAAGTCATTATTTGATTTTTCAAAAACTTGAAGCAAAGGAAAGCCCCCAAATCAGAACCATGACATTGGCACTTGCAATTTTTTGAATGAAATAAAAACTAAGAAAGAAGTAACGACACAACGAAACTGCGTAATTTTATAAGATGCTCCGTGATGTCTTTATTCGAATAACGGATTCATTTAGGAACCCCCGACATTATAAAATAAGATAATACAGATCTTCATTGTCCAGGTCATTGGACATTGGTTTGGTATTTCACCACGAATACACATACATACACGCCCACGCGCGCACACACACGCACACACACACACACACACACACACACACACACACACACACGCATGCACATACACACAAACATACACACACGCGCAGGCTTACAGTCACATGCATAATATAAATACAAAGTAATATAAACAATAATAATCCTAAGCTAGATACACACTACTCAATGTTATTCTGAAGCATGCTCTAAGGTCATAATATGAATACTTGTAACAAGATGGTTAGGATGGAATAATTTTGATTGATGATGGTAAAAATGACCTTCGGTATCTTTCCTTGTTTCAGATCAGAAGTTTAGGTCTTTTACTTCTGACTGATGTTTTATTTTTTTAGTTTTAGTAGAGGTTTTACGGCGCTCGCAACTGCATCAGGTCATATGAGCGCCAGAAGGTTAGAGGTGTTACAAGAGAGTAACAAACATAAAAAAGAAGAAGGAGAGATAAGGACGATAGATGTTTGATCGGAAAGAAGAAGCAAACCACACCAGAGCACCCGCCAACCACCCATGATGTTTTTATTTGAGGGAACAAGGAATGTTTATTGTCTTCAAAAAAATTAATTTTTTTTTTTAGAGCAATCTGTTATCTGGGTGTTAGTGGTCAGACACTGGATAGGGGTGGATGTCAACAGAGAAGTCTTAACAGGGAATAAGGCTTACTCTGTTCACCTCTCTAGCTTCAACAGCACAAAGTCTGCTTTGATTATCAAGGTACCCCGGAAATAGCAGGTCACAAGAAAGTGGCAAACATACAAAGACGCAGAGGAAAAAAATGACTATAGTAAGGAGTGGAAAAGAAAAAACAGCAGTTCCCTGTTGTAGATCAGGCACAGTTATGAGCATGACTTTGATGAATTAGCCCATTTACAATTCTACTGTGCATGAACGAGAAATGCCCCCCCCCCCCCTTATGGGAATGGCCTAAAGACACTTCAGTCAGTGGCACCCCCCCGGGGGTTAATTGGACTATAACAGACCATGTAGAAAAATATATACGTGAATAATGAAATAATTTTGCCTTTCTGTGAGAGAAAATTTTAGAGGCATCCCATCGACCCTAAGATAAGACGTCATAATAATGACGAAGAATTTAAATAACAGTTTGCTGCTAGTAATGCGAGCCTCACTGGCAATGCCACTCTATCACAAAGAAAACATTTTTAAAATGCACCAGTCTACCTAGGAGAGAGAGGAAGAAAGAGAGAGAGAGAGAGAGAGAGAGAGAGAGAGAGAGAGAGAGAGAGAGAGAGAGAGAGAGAGAGAGAGAGAGAGAGAGAGAGAGAGAGAGAGAGAGAGAGAGAGGGGGGGCAGACCGACCTACAAGCAGACAGACAGACAGCCAGAAAGACAGACAGACAAACTGACAAACAGACAGACAGAAAGTGAGAGAGTTTATTACCAGGCATTAGCAAAGTGCTAAATATCAGGCCGTAAAGTAAAATCATAGATTGACGACAAAGAAAGGATTTCATTATTTCACCAGCGTGTTACACGCTAGAGAGTCTAGCCTAAGCTTCAAGTCTACAACACTACTAGTACATACTAACAATCCGCGAAGCCACTCGTGTCGGACCCCCTCATCCTCCCCACACCCAGCTTGCAATCCGCGAAGCCACCTACGTCAGAAAGAGAGAGAGAGAGAGAGAGAGAGAGAGAGAGAGAGAGAGAGAGAGAGAGAGAGAGAGAGAGAGAGAGAGAGAGAGAGAGAGAGAGAGAGACCCGCTCACAGCGCGGCAGGCAAGTCTCAAATCTCGCTCGCAGCACAGCAAGCCGTTCGTGCCCCATGACTTGCTTTGTGCCCCATGACTTGCTTGCTCGCAGCCTGCAAGCCACTTGTAACCCATGACTTGCTTTGTGCCCCATGACTTGCTTTGTGCCCCATGACTTGCTTGCTCGCAGCCTGCAAGCCACTTGTAACCCATGACTTGCTTTGTGCCCCATGACTTGCTATGCCTGCCATGACTTGTTTGTAGCAACGAGCATCAAGACCGCTCGCAGTGTGAATTTTGAACCGTGAAGAAAGGAGAGGCTGTGCTATTTTTGGTGCTAGATGTAGAGAGCCGAAGCTATTTTTAACTTCCCGCCCTTAAACAGCTGAGCAAATGGATAATAATAATATAGTGAGAAGAAGCGTGGTAATCTTGTATAAGTAGACTTATATTATCTTAAAATAGAAAACTCCATGGTTTATTGTGATTTTCTTTTGTATCGTATGTATGTAGCTTATTTTGTAGATGTTTTACACTCCCAATGACATAGTATAGAACATTTATGAGACGGGCTAGGCCTACTTCAACCCAATATCAGGGCCAACCTGGGCTGAGAGGGAACAACAGCCGACCAGAAAGACGGAGGTTCTCAGTAAATATTTCTCCCCCCACGG